CCCCCCGGGCCCCCCCGCGAACGGACCTCTTCCGAACCACCGACACTGAACGGGTGGGTCTGACGACCCCAGGATGCCCCACGCATACCATCTGCCTTACGCTGCACGACATCGACCGCCATCAGACCGAAGGTAACCCGCCCCTCAGCCTCATTGCACCTATGCCCGTGGAACCTTGCCACCGGAGATCTCAGTTTTGACCTGGGACTCCACCCCCACTTTCCCAAAAATCCTTGGCACACCCCTTTTCGCACTTCCAGGCCCACATCCCACTCTAATCAGGAAGTCGCGCCGGGCGTGAGGTTTGGGCGTCACAGCCCGAAACTCTCGAAAACCCAACTCTTGAGAACGTCTGACAGCTTTTGAAAAATTTCCCCGTTTCAAGAGTGGTGTGGCGAGGCCCTTACTACTCACGCTAAGGGCATAGGGGGAGATCCCACTGGCAAAAACGATTGGAATAAGTGTTTGAATATGGTCGTGTTTGTGGAGAGATGCAAAAACTGTAATTGATCCGCTTTTCTGCATCTCTTCGTGGAACACTTCCTGATCCAGACACTTATTGCAATCCTCTTTGCCAGTGGGATGTGGCTCATACTCGCACTTCGACTAGTCGTACGAAGGCCATACCCGCACTTGGACTTTATTTACTACGCTTTGGACGTGATTGCGGTCAGATTCGTTCAGGTTCGTCTGTTATTGTGCTTTTGTGAGTATGCCCTAACAAAGGTGGGACCTTCGCAACAATCTTAGACCGCCAGACTGGCCAGTACACGGCCCCAGCCTTGATGAAAAGAAACTGGTGGGGGCCCATCCTTAACGGCCTAGCCACACCACTCTTGAAACCGCGTTTTCAAGAGTTGGACGCATCGCCACACAACCACTTGAGAGTCATAGCCGGAAAACTCTTTGGAGAGTTGTCAGAACCTCGTTTCAAGAGTAGCACTCGAAACTCCGAAACGCCCAGCCTGCAGCACCGCTCTTTTCAAACGTCCTCCCGATGGCACTTGAAGGGCCCTTGATTTTCGAGAGGTGTCAGGCCGTTTTCCTGACGCCATTCGGAAAAAAAAAAGTTGTACGACTGTCGTTTTTCATCGTCTGTCCAACACCATCGCCCTTTCGAGAGTGCTGTGTGGCGAGGGGCCCGAAACTCTTGAAAACTCAACTCTTGAGAACGTCTGACTGCTCTTGAAAAATTTATGCGTTTCAAGTCCGACCTCCGGTTACCGGTATGTTGTTTGATCCTTGCTGAGCCTCGAGCTACGGGAGGCTGTAAAAAAAAAAAAAAAAAAAAAAAAAAAAAAAAA